GTGGCCCAGGCAGGAGCCCCATGCTGCCCATCCGCACACTCCAGTAAATTGCCGGGAAGCCCCTCGCGTCCCTGGTTCAGTGATTCAGACCAAGGCTCCTTTGGAGAAGAGCGCTCTAGCTGTCGAGGGTTCTTTCCCACGGCCCTGGAGTGCCACGAGGAGGCAGGGCAGGAGGCAAGGGGGTTTCCAGCAGGTGGCTTCCGAGGGCAGGACGTGAGGATGCCGCCCTCACCTGCCCTTTCACCTGACAGGTGCCATCAGAGGATGCACAGACAGGACTGTGGGCCACCTCCACCAGGCAGACCCCCTGGGCCTCACCTCCCAGTTGCCCTCCGGTTGGACTCTCATTAGGCACTGGATAGGCCCCCTGGGGAAACACGGGGCCACTTCCAGCGGGGGTGCACACAATGCTCTCGGTGAAGCCTCTGAACCCTGCAAGGGGGGCTCCCCAGCCTGCCTTACAGATGAAGAACCGACGACTGGAAGAGGCCAAGTGACGGGCCCAAGGCCACCGAGCAGGCCCAGCCATTCCTGGGTTTGAGCCTGGGCTGGGAAGGCAGGCGGGGGCGCCGCCACTGAGGGTCTCATGCCAACAGCCCCCCAGGTCCCCAGGCCCCCTGACCTAGCACAGCACTTTGCCTGCTCGGCTCCTTCCATCCTAACAACCGACAGGGCAGGCCTGTCCCTGTCCTTACCTTGCAGACGAGGAACCCAAGCTCAGGGAGGTGACCTGGCCATGGCCACACGGCTGCTGGCAGGTGGCAGGGTCTGGCTCCAGACTGGGCCTCCTGCATGGAAGCTGGCACTTCCCTGAGAGCCGAGTGGCAGAGAGGAAAGCGCTAGCACCCAGGCAGCAGCCCTCAGTGCCCGCACTGTGCGCCGGGCCTTCATGAAGCCGACATCGGCTCAGGGTCTCCTGGAGCAGGTCTGGGGCGGCCTGGTTCTGCACTGTGGACAAGTGTTCTAGATGATTCTGACGCCTATTCATGCCTGGGAACCATTGCTTCTCCTCCTTCTTCCTGTGAACAGCCCAGGGGCGCTCGGCCCAGGGGTCTCAGGCCACGGGGGCAGCACAAAGAACGCAGGCCCAGGCTTGCACCCCAGGGCCCTTGGGAAGGTCACTGAGCCCCACGGGGCCTCAGTTTCCTCCTATGCATGGAGGCAGTGCTGTGTTGCAGGACAGCCCTGGCAGGCATCTGCCCCTCGCTCCTGGCACCCATCTCTACCCCTCGGCTGGCCCAGCGGGGCTCTGAGACCCTCTGGAAGGAGCTGCTTTCCCTGGTTCCCCCTGCCCTGAGGCCTGTCTTCCACTTTCTCCCTGGATATCCTTCTGGCAAGTTCCTTTTTCTAGCCTGAAGTCATCACGATGTGTGGGTGCCCATGTACCCATGAGGCAGGGCTGCTGTGGGGATGGGCGAGGCTCCAGGCTGGCCCCAGTGCACAGCGGGGTCCAACCTCAACCCAGGGACCCCAGCGCCTTCGTGGCCTCGGGCCTCATGGGCAGACTTAGGAGGGACTGACCTGGGATAAACCGGGGCCAGGTGGGGAAGGGAGCCCCACTGGTGGCCAGTACGTGGCTGGACACCGCGGGCGAGCCCGGCCCCCAGCATCAGCCTCCAGCTTCCATCAGCATCGCCTTGACCCCTGGCCTGCAGCGGGAGTGGGGGGTTACCCTGTTTATACTTTGGACTCAATCTGGGTTTTACCTCAACGCCCAGAAGGTCCCAGCCGTTTCTGGGCCAGGTTTAAGCTGGAGCGTCAGCAGTTTCTATGGGAACTGGTGAACCCATTTCCAGGGATTTCCAGAGCTCATGCTGGTGCTTGTCGGTGCGCTCTGGCATGGCGCCCAGCGCACCACGGACTTCACCGACTCTGACCTCGGTGGGGAGCCCTTCCCGAGTCCCCTGGCTCAGCAGCACACAGCAGCAACAGTGCAGGGGCTCCCTGCATCCCCGTGCTGGTCCCGCCAGGTGGGGCTCCAACGGCCGAGGCCCCAGTCCACAGGTGTGGAAACCTGAGGCTGGACGGAGGACACCTGCCCCACAGGTGAGGGATGCAGACTGTGGACTAAGCTCGCTGCACCTGAGGGCGCGGGGGGGCCTTCTAAACGGCTGCACCTGAGGGCGCGGGGGGGCCTTCTAAATGGCTGCACCTGAGGGCGCGGGGGGGGCCTTCTAAATGGCTGCACCTGAGGGCGCGGGGGGGGGCCTTCTAAATGGCTGCACCTGAGGACTTTGCCCAGCCCTGGGCAGGACTTGCCCCACCCGCTAGGAGGAATTGGGGAATACCTGGCCGGGGGGCGGGGGCAGCCCACTGCCGCACGCCCCTCCCGCCCCCACAAGCAGCTGCCACAGGCTGAGGGGTCAGAAGGCAGAGACTTCCCTTCTGCCAGGCTGCGGGCGCCCTGCCACAGTGCCACGGGGCAGCCGCCACGTTCTTGGTAACTCTTTCTCTTTTATTGCCAAGTTCGAATTGACAAGGAAGTTCCAGTTTTCATTTCCACCCTCATGTTCAATACCCATGAAGCATGAGTCACGCTGGCGAGAGCAGGTACTTCCCAGGAAGGTCCCGTGGCCCAGAGCATGCGGCTTCCCAGCCCCCACGCCTCCTGGGACAGAGATTACTGAGCGCGTCAGCTCTGAGGAGCCCAAGGAACCCTCGCAGTTTCTGCCCAGTGTCGACAGACTGCCTTCAATCTTCCTCATTTATTGCATCTAGAAAGGAAGACGAGCAGTTCGCTCCGTGCCTTTGTTTCCTGACAGTGCATCTTGAGGCCTCAGAGAACCTAGCGTATGTCTTGAAGGAGGCGCGCGTCCCCACTCCCCCGCCGGTCGCTGCTGACGCAGGTGTGTGTGGGGGTCAGCCTTGTGCAGAGCAGAGAGCAGGACGGGCTTGGCAGGGAAGGCAGCAGAGATGGCCTGGGGGTGGGGGGAGGAGCCTCCCTCCCACCCCTCTCTGGGTTGGGGGCATCTGCCTCCCATTCCCGCTGTGGTTTTGGGGCTGGTCCCTCTGCTCCTCCCTGGGGAGCGCCTAGCCTTGCTCTGTCTTTCTGGAAGAGGTGCCCTTGCCCACAGAAGCCCCCAAACTGGAAAGGACATGTGTTTCTCCACAGCACATTTCAAAGCCAAGGTTTGGGGGTTCACATGGCCAAGCCTGCCCTTGACTCGGCAAACTCAACGGGCCCAGTGTGGGCTTGGGGAGGTGGGCACCACCCCTCTCTCTGTGGGGGCATGGAGACGGCAGGCTGGATGGCTTGCTGAGGCTGACCCCAGAGATCTGAGTCTAGGACCCGTGTGTCCAAGGCCATGGCCCCCGCTCCAGGCTCTCCAAGGACTCCTGGCTCTGCCTCCCTCTGCCCAACCCAGAGACCCAGGGCTCTGTCTGGACTGGCCTGCCTGGCAGTGCCCCCGCTGTTAGCTTGTGGGGTGCCCCTGAAGTCAGAGCTGTGCCCACTGCCACCAAGATGGCCAGGAACTAGTGAGGCGGGCCCTTCATCAGAGCCAGGGCGCTGCCCATGTCCTCCGGGCCCCAGACCTCCTGGCACAGGGTGCCGGCCCCTCCTCACAACAAAGGGTCCGGGAGCCCCTGAGAAGGAAGTCCGCACCCCTCACCTAAAGGCATCCTGTGAGGCAAGCTGGCTGTGGGCTCCGGGACACACCCTGCGACCCACCTTGGGGGAGGCCGGCCCCCAGCCAGGGACATGGGGCAGAAGTTTGGCCTGACCGGTGCCTTTTATTCAACGGCCCATGGCGGCTCGGCTGCCTTCAGCTGCAGGTCTTCTGGGCACGCTGGCCCCCTGCCTGAGACCTTTCTCCTTGAGTGCTTGGTGGCCACGAAGGCACTTGGAGCCACTGGATTTCAAATGGCCAGCTGGTGGTCCCAGAGGAGAGCCTGGGTCGACTTGTACAGGCTTGTTCCTCACTGTGATGCCACTGGGCTGGGAGTCACTCTCCTCCTCTCATTTCTGCTGCACCAGCATCACTCAAAGCCGCGAGTGCATGGCTCCGGGCTGGCCTGCGGCTGGATCCAAGCAGATCGAGGGAAACACGTGGCCGGCGGCTGTGGGACGGGGCCCTGACCACATGCCCTTTCTCCCCATGGCTGCCTTCCCCCTTCTTCCATCCCACCTGCCTTTCTTTCCTGGAGGGCTCTGCTGATGGTCATGGCTTGTCCCTCCTTGCTGGGGCCCCTGGAGTTTCTGCCTAGATGGCCTCCTTTCTGAACTGGGTCTTTTCTCTGTGGCAGCTGGGTTGGGGGATCTCCCCGGAGAGACCCAGCGCCACAGGCACCACTCTGTCTCCTCCAGGGGACCCGTTTCCTGCAGGAGGCTGAAATCTGGCCTTGGTCCTCTACTCAGTAGATGGCGAGCACTCGGGGCGTCTCCCGAGGCCACCCCAACAACCAGGCCCGGCTGACACTGACATGCCTGGTGGACACACGTGGAGGAACGTTGTGGAAGGTCTTAGCACTGACCAGAGAGGGGAGGGTCGTGTGGCTGCACCCGGCTAAGCAGACAGGAACCTTGCGGGTGCTTTATTGGATGCATCGGAGAACTCGCCCAAATGCAGAGGGAACCATGGAGTTTTCATGTTAAAAACAAGCTGTGTCTTTGCAGCAGCAGCCGAGAGGAACAAGGACAAACTCCGAGCTCCCAGGAGGACTCCGCCAACCCGGACATCACAGCCTTGCAGCAGGGCGGAAGCAGGCGGTCCCTGCACACGGGTGTGCACGCACAGTCGAGGACGGCTCCCGTGGCCTTTTCTTTCCTCTAGAGCCCCTGGGGCCACAGTCTTCATGGTCCCACAAGGTTCTTTCTTAGACAGAGAGGGCAACAACGGAAGGTGATGCTGGAGACCTGTCCTGTTTGGTTCTAGTCCAGAGGGATGAGGGAATGGGTCCCCAGGGGGAGCTGACTGTCCCGTCCCCTTTCATGGAACGATCTTTCAGGTCACGCAAGGCCCCTTGGCTGCTACGCTACAGGAACTGTCAGCTCTCTCAGCTCTGTGTGTACCTGAGAATACATGTATCTCCTTTATTTTTGTTTAAAAAATAATCAAAACTTTCCAGGAAGGTACTTTATCATTCCACAGGTTTGCAGAGTTAGTGAGTAATAAAGAAAAACCGATCACTTAAGAAAACAGAGAAAGCCAGACCCAGAACTCTAAAACAAAACACTGGGAAGTTCGAGGGAAAACGAAAATGAAATCTTAACGGTAATATTACACTTCTAACGTGACATCTAACCTTAGGGCTGAGGATTTTTTTTGGACTTTTCTTTCTCGTTGAAATAGATGCCTTTTAAGTAAAATGCTTTTTATCTGCTGCCAAAAGCGGAAACGAATGTCCAAAGGAGATGTTTATCGAAGTTTGCTTTTCTACAAATGTCTACCCAAAGTGACCCTGTCTGCTGCTTCTGTGCACACTGGGGATGATGGCTGAGGAGCCATGAGACTGGGGAGGGGCTGGCCGATGAAGCAGTGGTGCTGGTGGGTCCTGCCACCCCCGGGCTGTTGGCTCAGAGACTGGGAGCCCAACCTCCTCCCCAAGGCAGCCGCCTTGGTGGTGCGTGTTGGCTGCGGTGTCTCACCATTCCCAGGCTGCTCCCAGAGAGGTGCACGGTGAAAGAGGAACTCAGATTGATGAAGGAGCGCAGGGACTGGCGGGTGAGGCGGTTACCGGGGGCCACGGAGCCTCGGATGCTCCCATGTGTCTTTGTCAGCTGCACCGGGTCCCCACCAGCGGGGCCACGTGCACAAGGCCAGGCCGCTGGGCACCGATTCAGTGTTCGGTGGGGCCCGCTGCCTCCGGGGGCGAAGCCTCCTCGCCCGGGGTCACTGTGCCCACCGCGGCCGGCGTGGGCATGCCGGCGAGGGTGCGCAGGCTGTGGGGGTCGACGGGCGGGACAAGGGTCAGTGACTCCACGCTCAGCGTGTCGGCAGTGTCCTCACAGAGCAGGGAGATGGTGGGCTGCCGGGTAGGGATGAGGCTGGGGGACAGGTTGACTGTCTCCACGTCCGCGCTCCTCACCAGGCTCTTGCTGGGCCTGGCGTCTGCTTCCATTTCGTTGACGATCACCAACTGGTCGGGAAGGTCCAGCTGGGGCTCTCCGGCAGTCAAGGGGTCATCTGGGCGGGGGAGAAAGAACAAAGGTCCACTCAGCTCTGAGATCCTCTGCTCCTGCTGGCACCCTCTGCGCCCGTCCTGCACAAAGGCCTGGGGAAATCTGGGTGGGAGATGGTGGTGTCAGGGGAACAGCTTGCCTCCACTTCCTCCTTCTGGGGACACAGAAGCTGGCAAACCCAGTCTTACCCAGACCTGGGGGGGAATCTGTCAGGGCCCAGGGTTACCGTGACTTGTGATGCAAGGGAAAAATCAGGGGCTTGTGCAATGTCAGTGAGTGGGTGAGAAGCCCAGTTCCCGGCTGCCGGGAACCAGGCGGCAGGCTCTACCCAGGAGCGAGGCTTGGACCACCTGTCTGATGACAAATACATGTTTAGGGAGGAGACGGGCTTGGGTGGGCTCTTGACTTCAGGCCATTTCCCGAGTCTACATTTGGTGACATTTACCCAATAGGGAACTCACCGCAATATTAAAAAAAAAAAAAAAAAAAAAAGAATTCTAGCCTGCAAAGCCAAAAGCAAACCTCCGACTGTAGTCTGCGTCCTGCTTCTTCTCTAGGGGCTGAAAGGGGTCGTGAGCGCCGGGGCCATCCCTGTCCAAGGTCCCCACAGGGCCGTGAAGAGAACAGGTGAGGCTCCACCCGACGCAGTTATTTTCGGAGCAGCCTTTCTTTTTTGGGGGCTTTTCAAAGTTCCTGATTCGAGTACAGGCAGATAGGCTATTTGCTTTCCAGTGACAAGTTCGTTGGGGCAGAAACACTGGCTGCGAGCAGAGTCCACGGTGGAAAATACCTCTAAGACTCCACGTGCCAGTAATTTGAAAACATCGAATAAGAAGGCTGTGGGCGCCCTGCCTGGAAAGCAAATTCTGGTTTGTACAGCTCTGGGGTCCACGAGCCATTGGCAGAATGTGCTGATGGCGTGGGGCTGGGCTACGAGTCTGAAAACACCCTGGCAAGTGACGGGGGATGGTTTTGTGTTCAACGTGATTCCAGTTATTATTTTTTTTTTCCTTTTAGGCTAAGCCAAAACAAAACAGAGCTGCAAACTGAACAGAGAGCAAAAGAGAAAAAAAAAGGAAAAACCAAGAGCAAAATAAAACCAAAGGGCATACAGAATGGGATGAAGGAGAGGAAGAGGGTCCCCATTGTGGAAAGAAAGCACAAGCAAGACCGAGGCTCCCAAAGGTCCTGGCTGCATTTCTTCCCACAAAAGTCCCGGCAAGACGAGCTCTCAGAGGTCCCGGTTAATTTCTTCAGAAAGCCTTATGGTTTTTTGGTTAAAGAAATAAGGCCCAGAGGAAACCACTGCGTGGGGCTTTGGGTCTGTCCTCGCTCTGGGTGGGTGGCAGTGGGGCACCGGTGAACCCTATGGAAAAAGTGAGTCGAGGTGTGATCCTAGCCCAGAAATGCTGAGTAAACACTCCACGCGAATTCTGGTTTCTCTGAATTTCAACAAATTTGCTCCATTCAGTAAGAACACCTCGTGGGGATGGGCTGGTTTCAACGCCTGGGCTCGCGTTCTGACCCAGCAGTGTGACCGCTGTTCGTCAGAAGGTGGGACTCTCTGGGAGGGGCTCGCCCGCTGCCTGGCTCCCTCTGAGCTCACCTCCGAGGTGCGTGAGCACATCTCTGAACTTATGTGTGGATGGATCCACACATATATTTCACTGCTGATGAGGCAGTTGGGAAATGACTCAGTCTCCAAGGGGCACTGCTGCGCCAACGGGAGACAGAGCTGCCAGACCTTGCCTTCACGTGCTCTCAACACTTTCATGTAGGAGTTCCCTCTTTGCTCAAGTCTGCATTTGCATGCAGATATTCAAAAAATATTCAAAAAACCTGGCAAACGTCCTTCCCTGATCCCTAACGGGGCTTTTGGTGATGAGAATCAGCAAGGACATGGGAAAGGCGCCATCAAATATGTTAAAAAGCAAACCAACCAAGAAACAATACCACACACACGAAACTGCTTTCTCTTTCAGGACAAGAACTAACTAGTAAAAGGGTCCATTTTTTCCCCTGACATATATAGCCTCTTTCTACCTTTCTTATGGGAAATGATAATCTCCTCTTACCCATCACCCACAGTGCTGTCTTACTTTTTTTTTTAAACTAGGAACTGCTTCCTGACTGCGATCTATTAATTTATCCATTCAAGAGGGGAAAAAGGAGAACTTTGCCAGGTTTACACTGGGAGAAAATTACCAGTGAGGACACATTTTTGGTCAAAGGTCAAGCTGCAAAGTTTACTGTGGAGCCTCCAGCTTTGCTGGCCTGCTGGTGTTTTTGAGCTCTAAGGCCACGAGTTGGGGCCTGGCCCAGAAAATGGGGGATTCTGAGAACATTCAGGCTTCCTGGCCAGGGGCTAGGGAGACGAGCGGAGGCTGCAGCAGGAAATCCTGGACATCCAGGTCCCTGCAGCTCTGGCCCGAGCTGACACTGAGGCAGTGTCCCACGTCCCTGGCCGGCACCCTCAGAAGCCGAGCTGCAGCTCCGGGTCAGGGGCTCGGCTGACCCTTGTGAGCGAGTGACAGATTCTATTAAAAATGTGGATTTGATATGCTCAGGCTGGCAGATGTGGGACTGAGGGATGCAGGGAATAAAAGGGCAGCGCAGCACAGCACAGCAAGTCGGAGGGCAAAGCTCAGAGGAAACAGCTTTTAAACGCAAAAGAAGGCAGAAGGCTCCCGACTGGCACACACCCCCCCCAGGCGGGAGGGGACGCGTGGGGACCCCTAAAAGCAGCGTCGCAGGAGAAGGTGGCAGCGGCAGGCCCTACACAGTGAGCGGCTGTGGGTCAGTGGCCCACAGACCCAGCCCGCAGCTCTCTGGAGCACCGAATGCTAGAAGGAGATGTGACAGAGTCCCATCCCTCAGCGTGTCTGTAAGTGAAACTACTTCTGGCCTCTGGCTGGACGGTGACTGAATTTACCACTCAGCTCTGAGCAAGGCCAGGGGAAAAAGGGAGGAGGGAAAAAGAAGCCAGTCGACTTCTTGGTTGCTTTTTGCAAATTCTACTGCCCAACCCTGGTAGCCTAAGCTGGGGGGCCCTGCGGGGGGCCCAGCTGGAGAAGCCACTCCAGCTCAGGGCCTGTTCACGGAGAAGCACGATGCTCCCAGGCTGCCTGAGTTTGGCTGGGATGAACTGACACGAGGGGACAGGGCCAGGGGATCCAGTCCTCGGATGGGACAAGGTCAGAGAGGGGATGGCAGGGCAGCCTCGGGGAAGCTGGGGTGATGCTGACTTCGAGAACGGCTCTCGGATGGGTGGCCCAGGCTCCTGTGTCCGAGGCCCCTTGTCCCGGGGGCCCAGTGCTGCGCGGAGCCTGCCGACTGTGGGGGGTGCAGCGTGGTGAGGGGGCGGCGTGGCCGTGGCGGCCGCTGGACGGAGGACCTGCCTGAGTTGAGTGTGCGAGAGACGCGGTGGCAGCTGCCGTTGGAAGCACTAAACCCAGCGGCCGCCGTGACTGTCGGCCTCCGACAGGCTGAGCACCCGGCGGCGTCCTTTCCTGCCACACCTGACTAGAGGGAAACACAGCGACAGATCATAGAAAGCCTTTAACAAGGGCACAGGGAAGGGGGACACGGAGAGGGGACACAGAGCAGCGACGGACACCAAGCATCGAGGAGGGTGTGAGGGGGGCGGGGGCTCGTGACAGCGGGGGCCTGGGGCACAGCCCCTCATGCAGGTGAGACCCCCCCATGCCACCCCCCAGGGCGACACGGCGTCGGCCCGGCTAAGAACCAAATCGTTTGCTCGTGGGAGTCAGCCGGGCTAAAGACAACGAAGCTTCCATCCTGCCGGAAAGGAGAGATTTGGGGTCATCGGCAACATCTGGTCTCGGTGAGAAACCTCAGGGGCAGAAGAACAAAATCGCCTGTCAGTTTTGGATGCGCACCAGCCGTTAAGATGGAAACCCTGCATCCCCGGGGGCCGTCTGACGAGGGACGGGAGTGTGGTCGGAGTGTGGTCGGAGGGTCGGAGCCAAGCCAGCCAGTGACACAAGCAGACGTCTGACCCCGGCTGACGAGGCCTGTGGTGCTGGATGTCACCGCCAAAGCCAGCAGCGCGGCGCTGTGAGGCCTGGGTTCTGGGAGAGCCTCGGGTGGCAAGGTGCCCCGAGACCCCGCCCCGGCCACAAGGCGATGCTCCAAGACTGAACCCCAGGAGGGAGATCTGCGACAGGGGCCCAGCGGCCAAGGGGTGAGCTCTAATCGGCTGAAACAGAAACGTTAGCAGCATCTCGCCGGGAAGGAAAGAACCACAATCCCTGAGACAAACCCAGGGTGAGAGTGAAGCCTAAACTTCAGGCCACAGAACACAGCAAGGTGAAAGCACCTAACGCCACCGAACTATAGGCTTAAACGTGGTTGAAGTGGTACATTTTATGTTATGTATGTTCTGCCACAATCAAGAAAAATTAACACCGTGGAGAAAGCTGGGGAGAGAAGGTGACACATCTTACTTGGAGCTTCTGTCCTTAAAAGTCCCACCCGACTTGGTGACCAGTTCAGTAACAAGTGGGCCAGTCGAGGGCTCTGGCTCGCGGTGGCCCACGTGGGGCCGTGTGCTGGTGGGGGAGGGCCAGCAGAGCACAACCCCGGCCCTGTCAGGCTCCCAACACAGGGCCACCAGGAGCCAGACTCGTCCTTCTTTCTATGAACCCTCGGGGAAGTGTCCAAGTGGCCACAACCCCTAAGTCCATGGGCCTGAAAAACGGCCACTGGAAAGAGCAGGCTGGCCTTCCGATGACTTCGTTTTTTAGCAAATGATTTTCCATCCTCCTCCTCAAAGCAGCTCTCCCAGAACATGTGTGAAATTCGACAGATCTGCACAGAGGCCGGAGGCACACAGGCTGTTTCAGGAACCGGTATAGGTCACGGGGCTCTTATCCGAGGAGAGGGTTTTCTTAGCAGAATCCCACGCAGAGCGTGTGTGTGTGACTGTGTGTGGGAACGTGTGTGTGCACACGCAGGTGTTAACCCAGAAAATATTTCTAAAGAGTTCCTACCAGTCTTACATTTGGTTCCAAAATTGGGTCTATTTTCTCTTTCCCGCCATACGTTTTCTGCAACTTCAGCTTCTCAAAAAAACCCTGCTGATTCTAACCCTGTAATATTCTCACTGGGGAGTGAGCTGAAGCCTCGCAGGCCAGCCGTGCTGGACGAGTGGGTGACAAGACGTGGGGTTCCAGGTGCTGGCCCGTGCAGGGCGCCCCAGCTCACCCCAGAAGGCTGTGAGCACCTCGAAGCACTCTCTGTAAAGGGCAGTGGGCACAGGTGGACTCATGCGTCAGGTGTTAAACCGGGCAGCAAAGCCCCCTTGGGCTCAGCTTTAACAGGTAAACAATCGACAATGAAAATGAAATCTCCTCGCTCCCCACTTTTCTGGGTGCTTCCTTTGGTTACCAGGGAATTCGGTTTTGACGTTTCCTTCAGTCTGTGGCTTCTCCTGGCCCCAGTTTGAGGGCCAGCACTGCTAAAAAGCCGCTCACGAGCATCCACAATTAGTCTCTGGTGTGTGAAGGAAGCTCAGAAGCAGGTGCTCCCGGCAAAGGGGCGTCTCTGGGCAGGGTCCTGTCCCCTGCTGTGAGGGGCCCTCTGCCAGGGCTGGGCCACAGACCTCAGTGATGGGCATGCGGAGTGTTTCTCAAGAACAGACCACCCCCAGTCTGTATCTGGAAGGCAGGATTCATAGGTAGACCCCAGGGAGGAGCTGCTAAGAGGGGGCTGGGCTGGTGGAGTGCCACTCTCGGGGGGGCCCTACCAAGATCAGGTTTGACACCCACAGACCTGAGTCGCTCACACTGCAGTCCCCATGCAAAGCTGAGAAAATCTGCATTTGGGGTAAACATGGGCCTCTTTCAAACCCAGGCAGGAAACTGAGGGTCCCCTGGGCTGGACAGAGCGTGGAGGCACAAAACAGCCAAGCATCAGAACAGCCTCCCGCCCTCCTTTGGGGATGAACCCATTGGGGCTGGCAGAGGGCATGTGGCCGTCTGGGGACCACCAGGCCTCCCCCGGTGGGGGCCGCAGAGGCCAGCCTTCGGGCCTCTGAACAGGCTGTGGCTTTTCATTTGGGCTCTAGAACAACCATGCACGTTAGAAGTAGAGATGCGTGCACTTCGTGGGCTGTTCCCAACTGGGATGCGAACCCGAGGCCCTGGTCTCTGCGGCGCCCCTCAGAGGTACCGGAGACAGACCTAGGAGCCACAAGGATGGTCCGCTGGGTCACTTCAGAAGGTGGGGTGCAGGTTTGGAGTTGCCAAGGCCAGCGGTCACAGCCTGACTCCTCGGCTTCCTGGCAGCAGCATCTCGGTCGAGCTGCGCGACCTTTCTGAGCCCCTGTGTTTTCCACTGCCCGCTGGGAGGCGGAGGTGGCAGGATTCAGTGAGGGGTATCTGTGAATGAGCACAGTGCCTGGCACACGGGGGGCTCAGTTTTGGGAGGAGCATCTACTGGGACACCATGCAGCGGGCACACACCGAGAAGGCTATGTGGTGGGTGCCTGTGCCATACCAATTGCCAAAATAGTGTGAGGGCCACCCTGTCTTTTACGGATACTTGTGTACAATTGCACGTTTCAAAGCCGTGGAGCAGAGACACGGAACATGGGACCTGTCTCGTCTTCTGGCAGATGGCCTCGCTCGTGCACTCTCCCAACCAAACACCCCACCGTGCAGAGTGCGGCTTCAAGAGCCAAGAAGCCACTGGAGTTTGCTCATTCTGCCTGCGAAGGGCCTGACAGCCACTCTCCACGCTGGGAACCTCCAGGACTCAGAGGCCCTGGAAACACAGGGATGGGAAGGCTTCTGATTCAGCACTGTGCCCTCAAACCACTTGGAGGACAGGTGGCCCCTCAGCTGGGCTGCAGCTGTTTTCTGCTGTCCAGGCCGGGTGGGCTGTGGGGAGAGGCCCTGGCCCCTTCCGCTGCCTGGCTGGCCCTCCAAGGACGCCGCCTCCGGCAGGTTGTGGCCAGGCCTCATGGGTAAAAGGGCTGGTAAACAGGCCCCAGTCCCAACAAAAACTGCCACTCTCCTCCACTGCTTGGCTCCCTGTCCAGCACAGCTCATGAGGAGAGTGGGCCGATGCCGGACTGTCTGGGTAGACCTGCCCTACAGGGAACCCGGAAACCTCACGTCTGGTCTCTGGATGGACCTGGGAGGCTGAAGGCTGGCCTGGAAGTCTGGCATCGAGAGCCAAGTGAATGGTAGTTCTTCCAAGACCTGCCACCCCAGCTCGTAGGCCTGGCGACAGAGCTGGCTCTTGTGGCCGGGCACCTGTCCCAGGGAAGAGCTTGTAGACTCCAAGGCGCCCCCTCCAGGGATCAACAGTAGGGTCTTCATTAAGAGGGAAGCACGAGCTGCCCGCCAGGCAGGCCGGTCATCAGGAGGCGAATGACTTCAATGTCACAGAGATTCGGACAGGCAGGCTGCGCTTCAGGTTTTTACTGTCAGGCAGCATCAAAAATGGGGACTTGCATGCTTGCCTCCGCAGGCCTGCTGGGGACGCACCGAACGGGAGCAGACGCCCAGGAGGGCCCGCCCACCACTTATCGACTGGAACTGCCAGCTACCCGACAGCCAGGCTCACAGCCCCTGCATTTCTGAGACAAGAAGACACGTGGTTCGCCCCATGCAGGGGATGCTGCGGGGAGGGATGGACGGGCTGAGAGGCCGAGAGGGAAGAAACCAGCAGCCGTGGACCCTGAGCCTCTGGGGGAAGGGGCAGGATTGGAGGGCCGGGCCACACTCAGGCGATGTCTGCACACGCAGGCCCGGCTTTGACAACGTGGGTCTCTGCTGGTTTCGGTTTATGCAAAGAAGTGAACGGCTCATTTGTCCGTTTAGCTGTTGGCTGTGCCTCCTTCGCAATGAGAGAAAGGCGCACATAGCTACACCTGGAAGAGACCTTTCACCCAAAATACAAGTGAGTGTACATGTGTTTGGGTGCACACAACACAGACACAGACGTGTGTACATGCAGGCAGCACGTGGGTGCACACACGAGCACACAAACACAAGCCCTGCAGCTGGACGTCCAGAGCCAGCGTGTGCCCAGCCTTCCCAGGGGGCTGAGGGCTGCTCCTGGCTTCTGGAGAAAGCTCTCTCTGAACTCTGTTCCCAGCTCTGAGCCCGGGATCGGCAGCGGCACGGCTTGGCTATGCAGCCAACCTCAAATGGGGCTCAGAAATAGCTCAGAAAGGGCAGTCATGTCCCCCCTGGGCCGGGAGAGGAGCAGGTGTGAGTGGAAAAGGGTCTCAGGGAGGTGAGCTGAGCCGACCTTGCTGCTGGGCCTCGTGAGTGTCAACAGGAGACGGAGGTGACGGATGCTCGTGGAGGACGGAGGGGTGCGGGCAGGCGGAGGGGCCTCAGCCACAGCCATGGAGACTGGGCTGTTAGCCCTCTGCTGGGGATCGCAGAAGCTGAAACTCTAGAGAGGGGTGGGCTCTCAAGGACATCTCTGCCTCCGGCGCTGAGGGGACAGTGGCCAGGGCCCTCCGTCTCCCTGACACCGTGGTGGCTCAGGCCCTGTGACGACCCACAGATCCAACAAGAGTTTGGTCAGGTGCCCCTGAAGGATGACGGGCGAGGGCTCTGGATGGGACCTTGGAGGAAGAGCGAAGGACACCGAGGGTCCCCAAATGGGGGTACAGTCTAGGGTCACTGGGGGCCTCCCAAATCAGAGACGCCTGGGGCCCTCCAGACCCATGGGGTCAGGCCACACCATCAAGGCCATTGCCGCCGTCCCTGCCTGCGCCCTGCCCCTCTGGCTGCACTCTGGGGCTGTCTTATTCAGGAAATAAGCCTGGTGTCTTTCCTCCCAGGGTCTCACGTGGTGCAGCGGGGGGCTCACAGCAGCAGAGAACATGGGGGGCCCGCTCACACATCTCCTTCCAGGCTCCCTGCTCACGGGGTCCCTCCGTGCCCTTTCTGCACTTGAGCAAGTTACAGGAGGGCAAGATACGACTCAAGCACGTCCCGATGGACTCTCAAAGGGCGGCAAGCTGCGCCCCTGGTCACAGACGACTAGACTGCCCCCAGTGTTGAAAGAGGAAACTGGTATGTTACGGAGGAAGAAAAAACGAGCAGGGACATGATTCTTTTGCAGGGTTTCAAACAAGCACGTCTGGGAGACCCCTCTTCGTGACACCTAAGACTCTGGAGTGATAAAGGGGTGGATGTGGGCCCGGCCCACCTGCTGTCCATCCCCTCCGGCTCTGCAGTCAGGGACGGCCTTTCAGTGGCCCAGCCTGCAAAAGGAGGGAGGCTCGCCTGCTGGGAGCGGAACCAGCGGCCCACGGGCAACATCCTGTCGGAGCGGACACAGAGCCCCCAGAGTGGCAGCGTCCCCAAGCACAGTGGCGAGGAGGAGCTGGGGGTCAGCAGTCTCGGCATTGAGGGATGACAGGGTTCCCCGAAGCCCCCCGGCACGTGTCACATGGCCAATACCTGATGGGCTCTGGGTGGCGGAGGGGGTCGACGAGGAGCTGGCGCCTCCCGAGTCGCAGTGGCTGGTGCTCCCGCTGCCGCTGGGGCTCCCGCTGGCAGAGGGCGACGGTGAAGACAGGGACGGCGAGCTGTGCTGGTTTATGCACTGGGCCACGGCGAAGCCTGGAAGACAAGGTGGCGACGTGACCACGAAGAAGGAAACAAGCCGGCCCGCAGGAGGGGTGCCGCCCCCCACTGGGCGTGAGACCCCATGCGGCAAGCCTTCCCCTCAAAGGCAGGCCTGGGAGGCTCCGCCTTGAGGCTTCGCTGGCCAACCCAAACCGCGCTCCTGGAAGGTCTGAGTCTGCTCCCTGGAAGGAGCTGACCTCAACGGTCGTGCGTGGGACTGACCTGGACTCGCTTTGAAGCTGTTTCAAGGAAAAGGGTGCAGCCAGCCCCAGAGCCGAGAGCAGGGCTGGGAGCCATAAATCTGAGTGCCTGATGCTGGCTCAGCAACGCGCCGGCTGTGCCCTTGAAGGGGACACGCAGCCTCGGGGCTTCAGAGGCGTCTTGACGAAGTTCACAAAGGGACGTGGGACATCCTCAAGGCAAAATCTTGGGGCCTTTGCTAACGCGCTTGAGTCCTGCCAAGGCAGGGCAGGAAGGAGAGCCCCCAAGCCTCTCCCTGCCTGAGAACCTGCTCTGCCCGGGCGGGTCCGGTGAGTTTGGAGTGCAGGACAAAGGAAAGCTCTGGTGGGAAGCTACCAACCCCTGGGTTCCGAACACACGGTCCACAGAGCAACTCCGGGTTTGGAGATGGGGACCCTGGCACGGGGCAGTGGGCGAGCCCCATAGCTGGAAACACTCAGACATGGGCAAAGCCTGCCTCACCACGCAGAAGCACAGGAACCCGAGCCCGGTGTCGTTTCCCACCCACCAGGTCTGGGTGTCCTGGCCGACTTCTCATCGCCCACTGCGGTGGTCGGGGACAGGGCCTGGCTGCAGGGGGGCATATGAAAGGCTGCTGTGTCTGCCCTGAGGACTCGGTGGGACCCCACACCCGGCCACCGTGGAGGTGATATTCTGTACTAATGTTTGGGCGACTTATTTTTGTCTAAGGATCAGCTCCTTAAAAGCCGGGTCCCTATTTATACGCCCACCAGGCCCTTGTGGTTTCGGGAGATTGACTGCACGAGGGTGGGAGGCTGGCGGGAGCACGGCGTGGAAATTCACCAGCCCCGCTTTCGCAGAGGACAGCACTCCTGCCCGCGCCTCCGGTGGAGGCCCGTCTGCCGAGAGAACAGCAGGATTATGGTGCCAGGTTCTCAGGAAGGGGCTTATGTGACATACGGTGTGTGGTGAGGGGCGCTCGGACCGACCACGGCAGACATGGAGGCAGCTCCAACACCAGGCAGGAAGGTGCCCAGGGGCGACCGCCGCAGCTGGAGCTTCAAGCGGTGACCCCCAGGTTTACAAGCTGCTTACTTGCCTCCAAGTGAATCACCCCTCAACCAACCAAAATGTCCAGATGGCTTTTCCCAGCCTGCTTCTTTATCAGAGCCATGAAGAGAGGGGCTGGCGAGTGTGGTAACAAGAGTCGGGAGCAAGTCTTACATGCTCCTGACATCTCCCCAGCCCACCTGGATGGATGATGTGGCTGTCACCAAGGTGGGCCCCTACCCCTCTCTTAAGACAGGCGTCTTCTCTCTCACGCTCTTTAGAGCCCTGGTTTATGACTGTAAGACACCTCGGGTGGGGCGCGCGGGGAGCAGGCGCGACGCAGAAACTGCAGTCAGGATCCTAACGTTCCTTCGTTTGGGGAATGGATCAGCGGTTGAGCCATAGATCATGCACCTTTTGCATAAATTACACAATAAGTATTGCGTACCTTCTGCATGCGCTGAGACTTAAATAGAATGAAAAAATCACCAGCCTCTGAGACCACCCGTTTGCAGGGTCTAGAGATAAGAGGCAACGCATCTTTTCTCGCCTGCTGTGTCTAAAAGTCCGCCTCCCTCCTTTCCCCCACCTTCCACTCTCCTCTCCCTCCCCCATGGCACTGGGGACCCACAAAAGCCCAGCAATGTGTTTTTGTTTTTGCTGGGTACCCAGTCTTCCCCGGCAGTTTCTAGGGGCTCCAACCCAAATTGAGGTGGGGAGCACGTGAGAATCCATCCGACATGTCAGAGTCAGGAGGGCTCTGGAGAGAACTCGGGACAGGCGCCTGTGGCCGGGCCCTCTGTTCTGCTCTTGCTTCATGCCCACAGGGCTCTTCTTAATGAACTAGCTTTGGTGGAGGTGCCAAGTGCCTTTCCGGGCGAGAGTCAAACAGACGCGGACTGCCAAGGACTTGCAAACACGCCAGGGATCATGGGACGAGGGCACAGGCAGACAGGCCTCCCTGAGATCTCCCACAGATAAAATTCCTGGCTCTCCCCTTGTGTGTCTCAAGAACGGCCTGCGAAATGTGTATCAAAGGCCGTCCAGGTTTTCAGCCCATCTGACCGATTCCACATCGAGAAATTTATGCTGCGAGAAGGCGCTGTGGACGGATCCACGTGGGGAACAGGGCGGGTGTTCAAAGCGCTGGGGTGGCTGACAGAGAACTGGAGACTGTCAAAATATCCAACAATTAGGGAAAGGCCAAATGAATTCCAATACGTCTAGATGATGAAATTCTCTGCTGCTGTGAAAGATGCTCGTACAAAAGAAGATTAAGTATGGAGGGAAATGCCCAAGACACAGTAAATTAAAAAAGGTTAGGAAAAGCATGTCCCACACGCTCCCACTGTTGTAAAAAAAAAAAAAAGAAGAAGAAAAAAAAATTCAGGCTCTGCCTCCTTCCTTGTACCCAGCAGAGCAAACAGTCTGGAGTGATCGAAGCTGAAGTGGTGGGAGAACCAGGTGGTTTTATCATGGCGAGTTTTAGTTTTGCTTTTTCTGCTTGTCTGAATTTTCCAGGATTCCTACTACAAATATTGTTTTAAACCCGAAAAGGAACGGAGGAGGGAGGAAGCACATAAGTTCCGGGTCCCCAACACACCCCTGGGATCCGTTCTGACCTCTGAAGCCGTCTCCCTGAGCCGGGGCCGGGCCGATGCCCCCGCAGCAGGTGCCCCTGTGCCAGGGTGGAACGCAGCCTCTGCTTTCCAAGAGCCCTGGCTTCACGGGGCAGGCCGGGGTTGTCCTGCTGCCCTGTGGCCCCGTTCTGCCAGCTATTCTGGGAAGACAAACTCATGAGCATCTCTCTGGGCGTTTGTCAAGTGCAAAAATACCACAAAAAGGTCAGCCTTCTATTTGAGGCCCACTGATAGAGGGAGCACTGGGCTGGGAGTCAGGGCCCCAGCTCAAGTCTGAGCTCAGCCCAAAAGGTTTTGCGACCCTGGACAAGCCCCCTCTCTTCCACGGGCCTCTATGTCTTTGTGCGAAAAACGAGACAGTGAGTGAGGATCTCCCAGCTTAAATGGTCAATAGTTTTCTTTTTACCTATAAATTTGAATTTGATTTGAACCCTGTGACCTTTTTGGGGGGCGGTGGGCAAGAAGACGATACTGAAACGTGCACCTTGAATATACCCTGCACACACCCTTCCCTTCGGATACGACACCCACCCAGGTTCGCCCTGCAGAGAGGCAACGTCGGGGTCCTGAGCCGGCCGACAGCCGCCTGGGGACTTGCAGATCCACTTCACTTTGCTCATATCATTTTGGGTGTGTCTGTTTCAGGTACCACCATCTACACATTGGGAGATTTTACATACAAATCCGGATTTCTGGCTTCTTAAATAATAGAAAGATGTAGCATTCCTGGGCCCCATTCCCCTGTGGCAGCGCCTGGAGGGGGGGACTGGCCCCTTCTCCCCCCACTAACTTGTCTTCCTGGCGCTGGGAGGCATTTCAGCTCATCTCTGCGATTTATCCTCAGATTCTTGTCCAAATTCACAGGACGCAGGGAAGTTCCAGCCCCCAGAGGTCTTTCAAGTCAGCTCCCTCCTCAAACCTGAACCCCCAGAATCACTGGGGGGCATATGTTGAGATGGCGCCACCTGCCTCTGGCAGCCCAGGTGGGTCCTCAAACCACATGACAAAACCACCTGCCCTCCACGTCAGCGGGGCTGTCCCCTCGCTCTGGAATTCCCTTTTGCCCTTTTGCCATCTTCTCAAATCCCTTCCCCATCCTTTGAGGCTCACACAGCTCAGGGCCAGCTTGAGCAAGAGTTTCTGCAGCTGGTGGGGTAATTGTTCCCTCCCCTGTACTCCCACAGCCTGCCCCATCCAGCCCTGGGGCCTCGTCAGCTGTATAGGAGTTAGTCTTTACAAGTTATTGCTATTTTGTGCAACAACTATCGTTACTTTAACAGCTAGCACCTGAAATCCTCTGAGGTTAAGAGGGTTTTGGACAGTGTTTCTGATATTGTAAGCTGTCTCCCATTACCCAATTTCCCCTTCATCTGCAGTTAGAGAACCTGGCAGCTCGGCATGGCCATGTGACTAACTCGTGGCCAATGAGATAGAAATGAAAGTGGCATGTTGGATTTCCAGGAAGGCTTCTTAAAAGGAAAGAGGTATGTCTTCCTCCACCCTGCTTCCTGAAACATGGATGTGATGGCTGGAACTCCAGCAGCTATCTTGGACCATGAGGTCAAATCACACATTAGGGATGCCAGAGCATTGGGCATCAAGCTTGGGTCCCTGATGGCTTTGTGGAGACCTTGACTGCTTGAGAGGGAAATAAACTTCTCTTTCGGGTTTTTCTTTACTATGTAGTTGAACCTAATCTTAACTGACAGTTGCAAAAAAGGCTTTGTTAATGCAGATTTGTGAGCTGAGCTCCATAGGGACAAGCAACTGGCTGGCCCCCTAGCTTCTGGTGTTGGGAAACTGGCTTGCACTTCCTGGGGGGAATCTGAGAGTGGTGAAGTGAGGAGAAAGAGGGGAAGGGGCAAGTGAGATGGGGGAGGTGACCTTCCCCATGATGCCCCAAATCTTTAGGGAACGCTCCTTCAACTGTTTCCTTGTGTGGTGCAAGTGGACTTTTGGGTGGAAACCAATGAAGGGACTGAGTTTCTGCCTGGGTTCACACCAGGCCACATAGAGATGACGCAGCAGGGCTAAGACCTGGAAACAGTGGGGCCCACGAGAGACTAAAGAGTGGAAAGCTTGCATGTGAGCCAGCTAGAGAAC